TGCAGTCTGCATTTTACCCTCAGTCTCCATTTCACCCCAGGTTGGCTGTCTGCAGTCCGCAGTCTGCGTTTGACACTGACCGGTAAGTTTCCCTTAAATATCCTGTATGCCATTAATTTTCTACCTAGATATCTCTAGCCTCAGTTAAGCATGAAGTGTAGGTGCCTGGGTGTATTTTGTATTCCTAAGTTGTGCTCCGAGAGAACAACTGTTGTAACAGATGTTTAATGCAATTAAAATGACAGATTTCAAGTCCGTAAGCTTGTTTTTACTTCTGCAGCAGCTAATTTACCTTCCAAAATAATTGCGCGTTCCTTTGTGGATAGACCGACATTCATTTTTTGAGCGTAGTAATCGAGTGGCGTTTTCTAGCCATTAAAGCGGTCTTAGCGCGAAGTGTTGCCCTTCTTAGCCAATCATGCTCCAATTTGGGGAGTCCAAAAATGAAAATAGACGGTTGGTTTATAACGTTGGTGTTCCCATGTTCTGAGCGACTTGACCAGACTAAAACCCAAAAGCAAATGTTCGATTGTAGTCGATGGCGTCACTGCTGCAGCAGTTGGGATGGTCTTGGCGTTTTTATACGTTGCCTTAGGATTCATGTGCACAAGGTGAATTTCTGTTTATTTTGCAAAAATGTCTGTGAACAAATCCATTTACCACGTGCGCGCACTTGTGTATTTTACTCCTACCAAATTTTGTTAGCCATCATCCTTCCACAGAGCAGGACAAACTTTTTTGCGTGTCAAAATTGGCAGATCTGTCAATTAATTTGCTACTTACAGGAAGCGTTTAATTTCTAGTGAAAGATGTTCAATGTCAAAAGGAGACTTTGTGGTTTTGCAAAAAAATTTGTTGATGTTTAGTGGAAAAGACTAAACATTTGTTGTGATTTTTTGGAGAGCCCAACAGATTCTGTTCGCCTATTGCGATGGGCCCCTACCCTCCCTTTCCACAAGGTAACGGATTAGCAACCCCATGGCGAGGATTGAATCGTTTTCTGTGGCGGTTTTGTACCCACGTGATTGTAACGGCTTACGTGTTTTGCGCTATTCTACATCGTAGTGTTTTCGCACCCAGAGGAAGAAATGTTTAACATTGACCCACCAAATAAGTCGACCTGTATCGTTTCCCAACAATTTGAATGAGGGATTTACATACAAAGGTGCGATTAAAGTTATTTTTATTAGGTTTTTAAGTGCTCTTAGCTTACATGTAGTACCTTGACTCCGATTCATGGAGACGCGTTTACCAAAGGGTTAGCTCAGTCGCAGTAGCATTAGTAGTAAACTCTATTTAAGCTGGGATTGAAGAGTAGCACGTATGTGCTAGTATCTCCGAGAAAACCAAAGGATATAAAAAAAAAGAAAACATATTATTATGTAATCTACCATAATATATAATAATCTATTATATCCAACTATTGGTCGCTGGGCCACGTGAGGTTATCTGCCATCGCACTAGTATCCCATCCAGGGATGCTGCTATTGAAATCCAGGTTAAAC